ACAGCTGAGTGGCGATCCCGCTTGGAGGTGAGTGTGGAATCCACGAAGGAGGGGTCTCCGGCCTCACCAGGTCCCGAGGCCGCCGTTGGGCCGCGGGTCCGATGTGCTGTGTGTGTGTGTGTGATTTCCAAGCGGCTTCAAAACATGTTGTTTATTGTTTCAGGGCCCAAGCTCCGCGCCCCCCTCCCCTCCCCTCCCCGGCGCCGCCTGGCAGTCCACCAGCGCCAAACCTGCATAATTAATTTGTTCTCCGCGTTGCTCACCTGCATCCTGCATCCGTGCCCATCACCTCCTGCGAGGCAATTAATCATCCACTTGGCAGCGTGGCACCAGCTCGATAAGGTGGCCTCGCGCCACGCGGGCGGGCTCGGTCCTGGAAGGTGCCAGGATCCGCCTTCGAAGCGATGCCAGGCGTTCAAGGGCGGCATTTCCCCCCCACCCCACCCCGCCCCGCGTTTCTCTTGGGGGGCGGCGGGGGGACAGTAACAGCTTTTTAATTTTGATTGTTAACGTAGCCAATCGCGTTTCCCTCCCAGTGGCAGGGGCTCCCCTCCGCCCTCCCTCTTCTGATGAAGAAAGATGTCTCTCTCGCGCCTCTTTACTCGCAGGATGCGAGGAGCAGGTGCTCCAAGCCGCGTCCCCAAAAGAACAGCGCGTTCCCAGCACAGAGTCCCGGGAGGACACCCCGCGTGAGCCCTGGCACCGCCTCCCGATGGCAGACGAGGGACAAACAGCCCGTCAGGAGGAGGAGAACTGCACGCCCTTGGCCGAGGCGCCCGCCCGGCCCGGCCTGAATGGGCCTCAGAGCCGCGCAGCTGCCGCCGAAGCTGCCCAGGGTCGGCCCTGATCACGGGGCTGAAGTCGGACTGAAAACAATCCGTCTCCATTACCTGTCCCTCAGCTGGGGTCTGCGAGTCCGTGTGCAAATGCAGCCCACCCGGCCGGCGAGGCTCGGGGCTGAGCATCCACCTAGGAACCAGGAGGTCAGGGTTCCATTCCCGGTCGGGGCACAGACCCCGGTTGCAGACTCGATCTCCAGTAGGGGGCGTGCAGGAGGCAGCCAATCCATGATTCTCTCTCATCATGGATGTTTCTTTCTCTCTCCCTCTCCCTTCCTCTCTGAAATCAATAAAGACATATTAAGAAAAAGAAAGAAGGAAAAAAGGAAGGAAGGAAATGTAGCACCAACTTCTCCTTGCAGGGCCCTGGCCAGTGTAGCTAAGTGGTTAGAGCGTCGGCCACGCAACAAAGAGTCTCAGGTTCGATTCCAGGTCACGGGCACGCACCTCCGTGGCGGCTTCCATCCCCGGGCCTGGTTGGGGCACGGGCGTGCGGGAGGCCACCAATCGGAGAGAGAGACAGTGACGTGTGAGAGACACATCAACTGGTTGGTTCCCACACAACCACCAGCGCTCCCTCCGACACCCCATGTCTGTGTCCCCCCGGACGATGGTTCTTCCCCCCGCGCACCTGCTCCTGCTCCTGCGGTTCAGGAGAAGCAGGCCCGTCCTTCCTCCCAGTGGGGAATCCCTCACGTGGTCACGTGGTGCCGGTCAGCACACACGCACACGCACACGCACACGCACACGCACACGCACACGCACACACACCAGCTTACAGCAGTGTCTGATCCCTGTGAAAAGCGGGGCTTCTGGCACATGAATCACCCGCGGAAGTCGGCGTGCAGTGCCTTTGATCCCTCCGAGCCTTTATCACAGGAAGATAAAACACACCGACGGGCACCCTCTGAGACAGCGACCTCCCTCAACCCCGCGTCCTCGGCACAGCTTGACTCACGACGGAGAGGGGCGGCTTTGTCTGCTGCGAGGACGGGAAAGTAGGGCAGCCGTGGGAGATGATTCTGCGTCGCCCGGCTCGGGGCGAGGCTCCGCTCCGGCGTTTTGTGAAATGGGGCACGTGCCCCCGCCAGGGCCCTTTCACGGAGGGATCAGGCCACATGCAGACACGGGCATCTGCACCAGTTGTGAGCCAGTTCGTTCTTGTAGGAACATGGAATCGAGCCCTGTCGGCACGGCTCAGGGGCTGAGCAAGCGTCCACCTAGGAACCAGGGGGTCAGGGTTCGATTCCCGGGCAGGGCACAGGCCCAGGTTGTGGGCTCCATCCCCAGTGGGGGGCGTGCGGGAGGCAGCCTGTCCATGACTCTCTCATCATTAATGTCTCTCTCTCTCCTCTCTCTCTCTCCCCATCTCCCCCCGCCCCCACCTTCCTCTGCCTCTAAAATCGACTTTAAAAAAGGACACACAGGGTTTGATCCTGTGTTTTCAGAACTGTCACGCTTCCTAGCCTCACGCACTGTGAATACTTTGGGAACAAACTCAGCCGGCAGCCATGATCCCTCTCAACACCACACTTGGCTCAAGAGCTGCTGGTACTCACGGCGCAGCGGTTGGGTGTCTGACGGCGGCGGCGAGGCCTCGCCAGTCTGTCTTCTCCAGTGGCCAGCAGTGGGGTTTTCCTTGGGCGAGAGAAACAAGGGCCTCGAAGGCACTTCTCGGTGCCGTCCGTGAGAACCACGCTTTCCCACCCTCAGGGCCACCCCCGATATGCCCCTGCTCCCCCCTCAGATGGGGGTGGCTTCCCGGCTCCCGATGACTTATTTCTCTTTGCTCTTCATTTCTCACGCCTCGGCGCCCACGGCATCGCGCGCCGTCACGCATGGATTGGAGCTCAGTGACGGGGAGGTGCCCCGGCGCGTCTGATCGCCTGCGTCGGGCGAGGTTATTAGAACGGTGCAAATATAAGTCGCCATAGCAACAGCAGCATCCGTTCCTGGCCTGTGTCATCATCTCGGGCCCGGAGGAAAGGGTGCAGGCTGAGCCGGGGGCAGCGTGAACACAGCCGCTGCGTCACGGGCCGTAGAAACCCATCACACTGATGGGCCGATCCTGGGAGGGTCCGGAGGGGCGGGCCTGGGCCTGCCTTCCTCTCTCTCTCTCTCTCTCTCTCTTTCTTTTAATGCATTGTTATTTGTTTCAGAGAGGAAGGGAGAGGGAGAGAGAGATAGAAACATCAATGATGAGAGAGAATCATGGATCAGCTGCCTCCTGCACACCCCCTACTGGGGATCGAGCCTGCAACCCGGGCCTGTGCCCTGACTGGGAATCGAACCATCACCTCCTGGTTCATAGGTTGACGCTCAACCACTGAGCCACACCGGCCGGGCTCCAAACCCGTTTCCCTCCTGCTCTTCCTCCACTCCCTGAACTCCGGCCACCATGGTCCTTGACAACCCCAAGTGCCACCTCTCCTGCCCCCCCCCCCCAACCTTTGAAGCCGCTGTTATCTGTGCCTGGGACCTTCCTCCCCCAGACCTCCTCCTACTCGACCTCCTCTCCTTCCTCCTCCTCCCCCTCTTCTCTCTCTCTCTCTCATCCTCCCTCTTTCTCTCCCCGAGGTGCACACAGTCCTTGGAGAAGTGCCCACAGTCCTGCCTTAGAAATAAACAGAGAATCGAGGACTGCTGGCCTCCCTTCGCTCTCAGCCCTGAGGACACGTCGTGGCCGCACTCCAGGCGGAGATAAAGACGGGAGCTTTGTCATTTCTCTGATGCGGAAGGAATTGGAGAGCAGGGCTAGAGTCTGGCTAAATGCTGCGCCGTGTTAAGTAAGAATTAATAAGGAGTTTTATTGGACCCGTCGGGGGGTGTGGCAAGTGGAATAGTTCTAACGGCTTCTATTGGGGACGATGCAGGAGACACCAGATAGTGATGGTGATGATGATGACGAAGGGATGATAGTG